TCTGATATTTGCACTAAAGAATGAAATTTTATTCTTAAGAGTATGGAGTGAAGTACAAGTAGTAGGAGCCAAGGATAATTTATGGGAAAAGCTGATATATATTTCAGGGCAGAATCATAGCCAATATCTATGAGGTAAGGCAATAATATAAATGGAAGTTTCACTAATAAATGAGTTCAGATTAGATAATGTGGATCGTGAAGAATAAATAACTTTTATTTTCGAGTAGTGATTCTTTAGACAAATTGGGGTTTTACCATTCTCTGATAGTTGGTAACTTTGCTGGTTCTAATAAGCAGAACTAACAAGGGGCAACACATAATTTATTAGAATTCAGAAATTCATACAGGCTAGGCTTTAGTATATGCTTCCGAAAAGATAATCCTTTCTGGTACTAATCACTTAGCTTGAAATATTTTCCGCTAGAGCAATGCTTTTTATTTTTTGTTCTGAATGTTTTATCTACAATAAGGTGATAAGTTAAAAATATTCGTTTATACGTAGCTTATTTCCTATAATTAGGTTATTAGTGCTTTGTCATCCTAACCGATCTCTCCATCCTGCTTTAACTTGTAATACATAATGATTAGATAAAACTCTTAATGGATTTTTACCAAAACCTAAATAAAGTATCGCTAGACCTAAGCTTCCCAGCAAAATAAAATAAAATAACGTCAATTAGATGCTTTTACTGCTACTAAGATTGAATTTCCACCACAAATTTTCGCAGAGAGTAAAGAATAACAGAAAAATAATGTATGAAAAAATTAACTGAAACCTTAATACATTCGTGGAAAAATACATACTCACACACACAAACACTCACACACACACATATATATATATATATATATATATATATGAGAGAGAGAAATAGATATTTTATGTAAAAAATATTTTATTAATCTTCTTAAATTTCAAATGTTACTACAGTCTTTGATCTACTAGCACTGTTTTATTCACTCCAACCTACTTTTTAGGAGTGCTGTATATGCCAACAAGTAAAGGAAATTAAAAATGCTGTTACCAGATTGAATGCCAAAACATCCATAGAAAATGACTTGTGTCATGGATTTTCCTGTTGCGACGATGGTAAGTCATCAAGAATAAGCCTACGAAAATGTTCCTTTTAATCAGTAGGTTAAGTAGTATAAAAAGTGCTATCTAGATTACTATTCTGCATTCCTCAAGTAAAAAGTTGAAATTTTCGTCTTTATTAATGCTTCTTATATTTTACAAGAAATCTTCTCTAGCATTATGCTAACCAAGGCCACTATTCAAATTTACATTCTAGCCTACGTAAAAGAGCTCTAAGTCCGATGTTTTAAAGGAAATATACATAATATAGATATATGCTGAAGGTTTAAGTAAATTTGTTGTTAATGTCATGTAATGCGTTACTTTAACGATATTTTAAGTGCTGATGACTAATTATGGTCATTTAGTAACCTAAAGATCATTTACATTCTTTTGTCAATGCAGTGACATTTTGTAAGTGAATTATATCTTATAGTTCGTTGCTCTTCCCTTGCTTTTGTTTCTAAAAATTGAATTGAAAATTCTTATGTAAATCCCCTTAAATGCCAAAGTGCATTAAAATAATCTTATGGAATAATTTACAACCTATGGGAGCTTAGTGACTTATACACAATTCTTTAAAGACATATCATATTCTAAATGAATGAGCTTCGTAACCTTAGTGAAAACTCGAGAAGCTAGTCCTAAACATTTAGTTGCTAAAGCGCCACTAAAATATCTACTATTACGCTTACTTTTTTCACCTATTGAAAAATAAACCAGCAATATTTATAGAAATGGGTTTACCTCGTTGTCGCAACTTGGTCTTGTTGTCAGGGCGACTTGATAGAACGCACATAGTCCGAAGTCGTCCGCCATAGTAGTTGTCATGGGTCATAGCATCAGACAGTGGACTTGGTACATTCTCAAACGTTTTGCCGGCATCGTAGTCGA